GGGAGGGCTGAGCTTTGACTTACATACTGACACATTATATAGGTTGAGTCGGATATATTTGGAAAACTATAACCTAGGCTTCAGCTAAGCGCATATTCTGTGCAATCTTTATATATATTTCTAATTCTTAACATTGTGTACGGTAAGTTTCTTACTTTAATAGTCGTCTATGGCAAAGACGAACGTGTAGCCCAGAAAATAGTTTTACTACTTATAGCAGCTTCACATTTTATTTTTATCGGGTCTATAAATTGTCATTCATAACACACGAGATCTTTTTGCCAACGTTGTACTTTATTATACTTTATTTTATCGGAATTAAACGACAACTATTATCGTCTTCGAAAGTTTCTTTCGCCTTTGAATCTAGAAATGATGTAGTAGCTATTATAGATCTTATCCTGTCATAAAATTTATATATATATATATATATATATATATATATATATATGTGTGTGTGTGTGTGTGTGTGTGTGTGTATGTATGTATGTAATATTCTTTTAAATTGTGTTCTTCCTTTGTTTTACCACAAACCATCAAACTGTCCACGTAATCAAACGTACCAGTTATTCCGAGGAAATTAGATTATTAATAACCCTTTGAACGCAAGCGACCTCTTTAGTAACGCCAAATGGCATACGATAGAAGTGGTATCGGATCGAAACTTGTTTATTTTGCATCTTTAATTGATATCTGATGCTATACATTTTTTAGGTCCAGGGTACTGAACTAGTGCTGCTTTCCAGTATCACGTCATCATGTCGTGGGCAAGGCTTGGCGTCTAATAGAGTCGGTCGTCACCATCCTTCTTTTGTGATTCTCCCCGAAAACAAACAGAACTTGGGCCCTCTACAGGGAGTCGCTATGTTCAATATTTCTTTCCTTTCAGAAACAACGAAGGTTTTATCAGTGTTAGAAAAGTACCGGTATTTCAATGCGACAGGTTTACAGTCAGTATTGCTGGGTAAACTGGTGGGGGTGGGGTCGAAATTTATGGCTACAAAACCACACACAGTTATTTCCGGCAGTATTACGTCGCAACATAAATCATGTAATACGGATAATTTCACACTGAGTTACCGTTTATTTCCAACCAAAAAACTGATCGAACTAGTGCCTGGAATTCTTTTTGAGAGAGAAGCCATACAGTACCAGTAGTAGGTGTCAACGGTTAGTATAAGCAATTTTACAATTTCATAATGAAATTATTAGAACTCCACGTATGAATTATTGCCTTGAATAGAGCATCGATTTCAACATTCATTAAGGTATGGATTAAATTGTTAGGGAAGACAGCGTTGATAGTAATGGTCAAGTTAAGAGCAGCAGATGGTCAGTGGGATTTCCATACTTTAGTGTAATGATCCCTTTTGCCACATCTGTTTTAAGTAGTATTTTGTGCTATCTCTGGATGATACAAGTCCCGTGGGCCGCAGTTTGACTCAACCCGGGATTTTTTTAATAGAAGTAGATAAGCTCTCCTATTGCCCGGTCCATACTCCTCCATACTTCTCTTGAACAGGAGTAGAGACTTATCCCTTGTTTCCTGTTAAGGAAGGGGTTCCCGGTTTCTTTCCTCGGAACTTAATAGTGGTGCTGTCATTAAATTTTTGCGATATTTGTGAATGGTAGCAACTTCTCTTCATACTGAGGGTTACCAGGTTGACAGTTTTCTGGTTGCTGTGCCCGAATTCTTGCGTAGTGTCTTGATAAGCTGCTCTGATCAACAGTCGCATAGTATCGGAGTCCTTGCAGTGCCATGTCACGCATGGAAGGATGTCTCTCCCGGCAAGCACCGAAACCACATTATGTAGCAGCCTGTGCTAATTCCCTTGCTGCGCATGTTACGTAAGATGACCGACCGCTACTACTACCTACTGCCTTTCCTTTACCAATATAAACAAAGATATAAGCCTAAACCAGTTAAACAAAAACACCTAAACCCCATAACCTTTCTTTCTTTAATATTCGTGGCATTCGTACCAACGTCTGCAGTGTTGAATCGCTCATCTTCGAAAAGTCTCCGGACATCTTAGATCTCAGCGAAACTTCCATCTTCTAATTTCTCGATTCTTGGCTACTTTCCTCTCCTTAGAAAAGGCTCTAAACTTCACATGCATGACCTCGAACATCTCCCGCTGGCTAGGGAGCTCTCTCTTGAATCTCCAGAATCTCATTCGTACATGTGTCTCCGTTTCTCTCTACAACTCAGTCAGTTATCTCTTCTATCTCTACCATTCCCCCTTTTTTTCAAGACTGTTGCATGCTATATAGTATTTCCGACAATATAGACAAGGCCATCTTCCTACACCCGCTTGCAAAAATATTCGTGTTCGGTGACTTTAGTGCTCACTAGGTGGCTTAAACACTCTTTCACTTGTTGGGTTACCTCCTCCTAATTTTCGAAACGGTTACTAGGGGACGCTCTCCGGCACTATAAATATTCTGCGTTAATTTTTTATCACTCTCTTCTTATTTTACATGTAAATATCTCGCGGAAGAACGCGTTCCCTTTAGAGAAAAGCATGAACACGCACGCACGCACGCACGCACGCGCGCGCGTACGTACGCATATTCACTCACTTCACATACTTTGGACCAAAAAATTTCCACATTCATTTGCTACACACATTATTGTCTTTGTCACTTGTAACGTTTTGTTGTATACACATATATCGATTCTTGTTGTATACACATATATCGATTCTTGTTCTCTTATTTTTTTATGTGGACTCATATCCACAAGTCTGCCATGTTGGTTGTGGACATTTCAGGAGACACACGTGTCTCCTGAAGTATCATCTCTCAATGCGTACACCGGCCTGCAACACACTAATCTCTCACGCATGTGGTTGACTTCCCCACGCGTTTCCCCAGTAACCCCGACAGACACGCTTCTCTTCTCGATCACTTTTTGACGTCTATCCCTGATGCTTGTCGTACTACGCAACTCTGACTTCTTGGCAACTCTTATTATGATCAGAAGATATTTAGAGACAATACCGTCTGTAATCATCTCCTTCCACTCCCCCACTAACCAAGAACCTCCTACCAACAGAATATCCTTCTGTTACCAACAAGCAGATTGAGACTCGTTCCGTGATTTCCTTCGTGACGTCCCATGGAAAGAAGTTTTTAATCATCATGTTCAAAAAATGCTCGTCTGAGGTCTTCTTCTGGGTGAAAGCCGACAACGATGCTTTCGTTCCAGCAAGTTAAACCGCGTTTATCTCCTTGGTTCTCTGCTCTGCCGCTACAGCCCACAGGAATCCCGTCTGATTTCAACAAACGTTTCTTTGTATTAAACGTGTCCTTAATGAAGCGAAGTTACTGTTTCCGATAGAACGTTCATCTTTTATCGTTTCCTCAATCCTCCCTATATCCAGTTTTTTCTCTAACTTTCACTCTCTGTAACCCCCTGCGTACTAGTGACACTTCCGCCTGGCTTGGGATGAAATGGTTAAAAAGAAAAGAAAAAAGTAGCCTTTTTTGTTAGTAGCTATCACTAAGATTTCATCATTATCAGGAATAAGGTCGTCAAGAGACATAGCATTTAAGGGAATTGTTTGAACGTAAGAGAAGGATTAATATACAGCCGTCTCAAGGATTACAGCCTAATAATACGCGCTATTCCACTCGAGTTTCCAAGAGTCTAGTCCTTATGCGGGAAGATAGCAGTCCGTTAATGAAGGCGTCCCTGATATACTGGACACGGTTAACTTATGCCGTTATAGAATTAAATTTGTAGTCTTTAATATGCATGTGGTGGAATTGCAAAAATTGGTTCCAACTTCCAATCTTAAACTTATTTAGTAAACACTATATTTACTAATCATAAATGGAAAAGCTTATTACAATTTAGCGACTCCCAATATTTAAAAAATAATTTTGAATTTTTTTTATACGCGTATAAACGTGTTGATTTTTGTAAATACACGACATTATCAGAAAATAAGTGAGATAACTATAGTAAATTTAAATCCAACGTACCCAAAATTCAATAAAACATTATTAGAATATTTTTCTACATTTTAAAGATTAATGGGTAGTTAAAAATGATGTAAAAAGGCGCTCACGTTATATTCATCAAGTAATTTTTACCGATATATCCACTGTAGAACAAAATTAGATAAACTCTCGTCTGTCAGCCAAACTGTCAACCTGTCAAGTGAATTACATCGTGATGACGGATGCCCCAAAATTGCGCTAAATCAAGCGATTTTTCAAAACGAAAACTTCTTCCAGTCGATTTAAATTAGTTTATCGCGTTTCTGTGGAGGTACCTAATTTTATATTAGCCTCAGCTTTTACACTTTTGCAGTATATTATGTTCGTATCTCATATGGATACGTATGAAAGTAATATAAATTATGATACAAAATTGCATTTTAAAAATGATATTTTTTTCTATATTGAATCAAAGAGAGACACATATATATTCTTTGAGAATTGATTTCGTGAATGTACCTCAAATGAATCCGGTTTTATATGTAAAACGAAGTGTTCAAGAGTAGAAGCGAAAAGAAATTAAACAGTTTCTTTCATGGATGTGGTGTGTCAGAGAAGAAAGAAAGGAATAAGCAAGAGGGAATATATCAAGAGGAAAAACTACTCAGAGAAACATCTGCGAAAGTGTGTCGACCCAGATTATAAGGAACCACACCTAAAAATATACTACCCACGCATTATCAAGTAGAAGGGTCTGGTTACTGTGTGTAGAATGTAGAACAGTGCTACAATTAAGCAGTAAGTTTTATGATAATCACACTAAAGAGTTCTTAAAACATTTAGTGTTTGCAGAAAAACTGGGGCGCAAACAGCAGCAATATTTTGATTATATTCAGTTCTTTAATGTTTTTCAAAAAACAAAAATTCTGGCCATTTGAATATATCTATTGAAATTTTTGGAAAAAAATCCATTTTCATTTAATATTTTACACATGTTGCAATTCTACAAATGTTGACATTTGACTGAAAATTTCAGGGAAAACTGATATTTCATGCGTTGGTTGGTATCACGTGATCTTGCAGCATTTTGGGTGTGGCTGCATGTAATTTTATTCGCAGATGTTTCTGTAAGTAAATTTACTTTTTGGTACTTTACATCCTCCCCCTATACCATTTATTTGCAAGAAGAAGTCAAATCCGTGAGAAAGTACTTCGTATCTTGTCGTTTTCCACTCTTTCTTGAAGAAGATACAATTTCTTTCTTTTTTTTTTTTTACCAATATACTTTATTTAAATAATTAATTTGTGTCTACATCCACTGGGAGACAAATAAAAACTGATCACAATCAGAAGCAGATATTCCATACGAATTTAAAAAATTGTTGAAATATGCCAACTACAATTGTTATACAGTCATCCAGTTCAAAATGGATCAACATAGCTTTGGGAGTGTTGACACTTGGCTTGCTGTTATTTGTTATAGGTTTCTCGACAAACTACTGGGCCGTCCGAAATCCAAACCATGTAGGCCTGTGGCAAAAACACATCTGTTTTCGTTATAGGTGTCGAGATTATAATGCTGTATCAGCTAATACTGCAGGTAAGTGATTGGCATGTTTGATTTAAAATTTTAATTACAAAATAAAATATTTAACCCATACAATGACGACAAAGATTTTTGGAAAATAAAAAGTATTTAGTTACATGTCTTGAAGTCTAACTTCATAAATATTAACTTGTTGGGTCAAATTTTAAATACAAGATTTAATAAATAATGATATAATTCTTTGTAAACTTACTATTTTAATGGTAGTCATTGAAGAAAATAGTTTGGAACTACAATAGTTGCTATATATTGTTTGAAAAAATGTTTACTTGATAATCTCGGATATAGTATAGTTGTTTTATACCTGATTAATGGAAAACCTTCTTGATCTATATATTTATTTAATCTGAAACAGATAACAGGATAGACACGTACCGTTTTCATAAATTATTTTATGGTTGCTTGTCAAATCAAGCTTTTAGAATTCACAAATAATATTTCTTTCATATTCTGCTTTTTTCATGTTCTCTGCACGACATAACAGAAAAAGTTTTGTTAGATAGTTTTTAAGGTTACTCATAACCATCATACTAACCGTTTGAATTTGTTTGTCAAAATGAAAGAATCTAATTGTTATACATGAACCCCAATCTAGAAGTAATTTATAAATTAAATTAAAACAGATTAACAGAGAAAGATATTAAACCTCTCGGCAGCCATTAAATATTTTCATATTTAATTGGACTGAAACAGTCGAAAAGCAAATGTAATACAGGTTGATGAAAACAAAGTAAATTAATCTACTACTAATCAGTATTAACTGAAAAGACTCAATATTTGTTCGAGTAAATAGTATAAAAATTCTGTTTTAAACCAAAAGATAACACAAAAATTTATTATAGATGTAATAGTAAGTTCAATGCTAAGAGTTTCCTTTCTCGCACTTCTCGCTATACAGATATATAACCACACACACACACACATATATATATATGCATATATATATATATATACATATATATAGAGAGACATATATATATATGAATATATACAAATAGATATATATGTACACATATATACGTATATATATACATATATGTGTACATGCATATACATACATATATAAAGATATATAAATACTAACATATGCATATATACACACAGATATATATATTTTATTGTTATACGTTATTTATATATACACAAATATTTAAGTAAATACTCTGTTTATAATAAACAGTATTAACAACATTTACCTGCCTAATACTGTTTATTATAAACATAGCATTTACATACATCTCTCTCTCTCTGTTTCTCTGTCTCCCTCTCTCTCTCTCTCTCTATATATATATATATATATATATATATATATATATAGAGAGAGAGAGAGAGAATATATATATATATATATATATATATATATACAGCTGACCACTTGTATTTGAGGAGACCCGTCTACTAGGCGCATTCAACACCCACAGGGCCCACCTGTGGTTTATACTGTAACTATGCTGAGCAGACATTAGTTTCTGGGAAAGAGCGTTGAACAAGGCCAACACGCTCAAGCCCTGGCCCCAATCACTTGTGATTTCGTGTTAGCACAGTTCCGTCTACCCAATTTCACTCACCATGCTTGGGTCAACCAGTGGTATGGTTTTCCGACACTATCCAAAGGTGTTGCACGCTGGGATCGACCATGCATCTCCTTCCTGACAAATCGACCATGGTGAGATTCGAACCCAGGTCTCATGGTCAGAATGCGAACGTTCTAACCACTCGGCCACATGCCCATAACATCATCATCATCATCATCATCATCATAATAATAATAATAATAATAATAATAATAATAATAATAATAATAATAATAATAATAATAATAATAATAATAATAATACTTGCAGAAAAATATATCACTCATTCCTAATGATTCAAGTGGCCTCTTTATTAATTTTCTATCAATCTCTTTCAGAATGTAACTTAAAATATTGTATAACTCTCATCTTGAACATGAAAAAGAAGAGACGTGTTTACTTCTTTGCATTAGTTCAGGCTTGGCCATAATGCTTCTCAGTCTACTACCAAAACCTACCAGGGTAATGAATACACTTGTGTTCAACGATGATTTCTGAAGTTTCTCAGTGAGGATACAAGTCTTGATGTTCAAGGTGGTAGGTGGCGTCCATTTGGTCTTCTCCTGAATCAACTGTGATACGCCATTGATATTGGTCTTCCAGCCAAAGCAATAATAAACGTTCCATCTCAATAATGAGACCACTACTTTGTTTTGTAACCACAGTAGATTTCAAAGGAGCAGATCCTTTCATAAAGTATACGCTTTTATCACCGATTATCGTCGAGAGAGTCGTATGTCTTGGGCCTAACAACTGTCCAATGTTCGACAGTGTTTCATCCTTTTATGAACGTTTACTTATATCGACTTTCACTTCTATGAATATGGCTTTCCTTTTCTTCGAGGCACTGCTATCAGAAAAGGCTGCTTTATATATATATATATATATATATATATACACGTTTCCTTAAATAATATAGACAAGTGTTGGACAAGACAGTGATGACAGCCTGTGAATGTTTACATAGATGATCTCTAAGCACATATATATGTATATTGCTTAATATGTTGTAATTGACATCTTTGATAATGGCTTATGTACGCCGAAAGATTAGATTGTATTAAAAAATATATGGATCAATATTGTGAATTTCTTTGTTCGTTCAATTATAATGTTATTAAACTTATTAGACGTTATGAAAAGAGTTTACATAAAATAAATAGACAACACTTGTCCATATTATTTAATGAAACGTGTATAAATGAAAAGATGCTGCCTAAATACACACAATATATATATATATATATATATATATATATATATATATATATATATATATATATATATATATATATATATATATATATATATATATATATATATATATAATGATAATAATAATATTAGCTGGTCACTCGTATTCGAGGATACCTGTCTGCTAGGGCGGCTAGCCAATCCCTATTGCAGACGCTCGTTCAGGAACATTTGCGTTTGCACAAGACCCACAGAATCCACCTGTGGTTTATACTGCAACCATGCGGAGCAGACCTTAGTTACAGTTTATGGGAGGGAGCGTTACTAAGCGTGATCAACAATTTGAAGAAAGGCCAGCACGCTCATACATATATAAACATATCTATATAAATAGATCTATATCTCTCTCTATATATAACATATCTATATCTAAATATATTATGAAATGGACAAACTCTGACAATTATTTTAAGACATTTTTTATGTTTGTACGTTCTTTTTATAGATACAAATATTTAAGTAAATGCTCTGTTTATAATAAACAGTATTAACGACATTCACCGGTCTGAATGTCTGAGAAATTTTCATAGAAAATAAGCGTCTATCGACAGGAATCGATCCTGTATTCTATACGGAACCGTCATATAGCCTGACGTGCTTTACCGAAATGCCCCTCTGTGGCTAAATCGGTATATATATATATATATATATATATATATATATATATATATATATATATATATATATATACCGATTAAAAACTATCGATCCGCAGTACATAAAAATTCCTATAAAAAAAACTACTACTAAGACATTACACTATATTATTGAACTATATACTTAGTTCATGACATAAAAACTGAATACACTTGTAAAAAGAGAATACGTGGATTTAACTCATCACAAGAAATATTTAAATAAAATTCTCGTTGCGTCTTTGCACGTTCCGAGATCTTACACAACCGTCAATAATAGCAGATATTCAAAAAACATCTTTCCGTCGACATACAGGTATATCGTCTCAAGTTTTTGATTTTATAAGGAAAAAACAAAACAAAAACACATGCCTGATGATGAATAAAAGACTATTCGTAAGTACTAGCATTTTAACATCAAATAAACTGAAAAACTACAGACAACAAGTTTTTCTTCAAGGATCAAAACTCGCACTATGGATGAACAGGATTTTAATGCATATATTATGTTTTCTAGCGATGGATGTCGCCAATAATCGCATTAATACTTCTGATTAATTCTATGTGTGATTATTCTTTTATATATATATATATATATATATATATATATATATATATATATATATATATATATATATGTGTGTGATGGCTGTCCTACCTGTCACACGAGTGTGACGATCGCTGTACACTCACCCTCTTTCCCTACCTATGTTCTCTGGTGTTACTTTGAATTGGAATTCTCGGCTTTTATTTGTTATGTGAGCGGCAGTGGTTTTTAAAACTAGCGAATGACTTGCACTGCTTTTGACAGAAAAGGGCATGTGTAAGCAGCTACATCTGTTTGTAAATTTTGGAGTTGCTGCCGATGCATCTGCTGTTGCTGTCACTGTTACTGATGCTTTAATATGTCCGGTCAACTCTGATCGACATTGTTGTACCTTCCAACACACAGCACAACTTAAGTCGGCGAGCTGAATGAATTCACCAGAATTGGTCAGTGCTCGATCTAGGTGACAGGTACGAAGGCCTGCCATAGATAAGCAGACTCTATTCACCAGAATTGGTGAGTGCTCGATCTAGGTGACAGGTACGAAGGCCTGCCATAGATAAGCAGACTCGACCGCATTGATCACACGGCTACTGATTATGCTCAGGATCGACTAATTCCTAATTTCTCCAGCTTGTTTTGTCGGTAAAACCGCTTACACCTACTATAAACAGGAGTCCTCCAGTTATGCCTATCACAAGTAGCTCTCACTCACCCATCCTTAGTAATGCGGCAGTTGGGCCTTGGACGCATTTCTTAAGCTAGCTAGCCGTAAAGGATTCGCTTGGGAATTCGAAATTTCTTTAAACGAATAATATGACCTGTCCATTGAAGCCGGTAACGATGAATTAGGGCCTCCGTGATGATAGACGATGCTCTATCAAGGTTGGTTGTATCAGGTACATGGGACAGGCCTGGACACACACACACACACACACACACACACACACACACACACACACACACACACACACACACACATAT